AGGGCTAATAAAAAATATCATAATAAAACGAACATATCTAGTCAAATTTATAAACTAAACCACATTGTAAACCGTTTATAATGTGGATACTGGTTGCGTAGGTCCCGGGTTCGATTCCCGGCAAGATCAATTTGGGAAATAAAATTTTCTAAATTATGTAATGTATTATATTATATTTATTTGTCTTATGCTGCAATAAATAATAATAGATATGGGGTGGTAAATGCCTAACTGAGAGTTCAGTAATGTGTGTATCATAAGAAAAGAATCCTTATAACCAATAAGGTATTTAGGTCATATTAGTTGGAGGATGGTTAGTTTTGATAAGGCCAGTGACTGATGTAAGCTTGATTAATGATGACACTGCACCGGCACAAGTGAATAATATTATGACATTGTCTTACGGAGAGCGATGGTAGACAAATGGGTTCTCCCAGCTGATTCTGAATTGAGGTCGAAGGTTCCTGTGGCATGTGTAGATTTTCTTTTAAATAGCACTTGCTTGAGAAACGCTGTATCGCGGATGCCATGGACAACCACAAATTACACCCAAAGTCCCGATATAATTAAATGAAGGCAAATATTTTTCCTGGCCCCGGAAACCGAACCCGGGACCTCTGCGTGGCAGACCAGTCCATAATTTCGCACTCTTGCAATAAGGCCACATCTCCAAAATGAAAGTTTTTCAGAAGAAAGGTTTAAAGGTTCTACGATCGAAATTAGTTTTACTTTTTTATTGCGTAAACAGGATAATTACTAAATAAATACAAAGAGCGAACACAAAATCCTTCGACCCGACAGGACTCGAACCTGCGACCAAGGGATTCCGTCGCCATTGCTATACCAACTAGCTGTAGCTACAAGTCGAGTTACTAAGTCGACGAATTTTTTTCCATGTGTATGTTATAGATTTTTGCATTGAGTTTTCGCCTTTCGACACCGTAGCGACATCTGTGATCTGTGATCCTGTCGGGTCCAAGGATTTGTTCCTTGTGTTCGATCTTTGTATTTAATCATTATAATAAACTAGTGGAGTTATTTCAGAAATAATAAAATATAAATATAATAAATAATATAACATGTGATATAATTAAAATTAAATTTTAAAATTGTAGTAATAATAGAATAAATCTAAATCGACATTATATTGTGTTAAACTTCAATGATATTTTTGATTTGAGTGGAGTTATTTCACAAAATGGACACACAAATTAAATCGGAGAATTTTTAAATTTCACACAAGTATACGTAATTTGTTTCATGTTTTTAGATATTTATGACTTCCTTGTGATAAAAGCCTTCTACATTTGAAACGGCTCTACATTTGCATAATACTAAGCCAATTTCATCTCTTTTGTATCGTTCGTCGGTGCTGTTTTCTGCGAAAGAGAATGACGTCTACAATGCGCACAAATTTTCGTCTGTTTTGACATACGAAGATACTGTCATTAAACTTAGTTTAGCAACTAAGTTGTAAAGATTATAAAGATGGGGATAGATTCCTAATTTTTATGGCGCGTTTCCAGATCTTACTTTGACATTTTGAGATTGATAGGAATCAGTTCGTTCTAAAATCACTTTTTGTGATAAGCACTTAGCGGAAGAGATGCCTCGAAATCACACTTAAATATAATTTATTTCATACGTAAGTAAGTTACACTTGAAATCGTAATATTGATACTACGATCATGTTGGTTGACACGGTATGGGTTTATCAGCATTCAATTTAGGTGGAGGATAAGGTTACACTGGCGACGAGGATTTATTCAATGCTACTTCCATGATATAAAGAGATGGTGGGTTAACATGTTCTCTTTAATATGTGTGTGGTCTGTCAGTGTGGTCTACAATTTTCCCTTTAATGGATATTTACAATAATACGGAGACTTTTTTTACATGTAATCTCATAATAACCCTACATGGGTTTAGCAAAGCTGACCCACGAAGGACTCGACTTGCAGATGCTTATAAATTGAGGTGTTAAGTATTTATTTCACACACATTCAGTCGGAGTAGTCACCTATTGATGCAAAAACTTAACACCTCGGAATCGATCGAAGCGCACGTCTGTAATGATATTACAAGCTGTAAATGTTTTACCCTCTCAAGAACTTGATTTGTGAGATACTTGGTGGTTCTGGTGGATGATGGACTAACCTGGAGACCTCACATCGACAATATTTGTGGAAGAGTAAGGAAGTTGATCTACGTTTTTAGAAACCTGCGTCACTGTGTAACTTCGGATACGCTTATTTTAGTGTACCGTTCCTTATGCGAATCTATTATATCTTATTGTATTCCCATGTATGACATATCTTTTGACCCTTGAACGTGCACAAAGGGCGGTGTTAAAGACCATTTAAACCAAGAGATTACTCCACTGATAGGCTATACTCTGAAGCCCAGGTACTACAGGTCTTGTATCGTCATTCACTCCTACCTCTACATCCAATCGCTGTTAGTAGACGACGAGGTTCCCCTGTCTGTGATACTAAACAATGCCGTACTGCCTTTGCTAACGGACAAGTTTCAAGTGTAACAGCGCTAAGTGCTAGATTATATAATAAAATTAATAAATCCCTACACATATACGCATTAAACAAGTATGAAGTTGGGTATAAACTAAGAAAATGGTTACAGAAGTTATCCTATGAGGAGACGGAAGAACTTCTAGTTAGACTAGAATGAATTAATTATTAATAAAGTACTTTACCTAAATTATTTATCTACCTATATAATGCTTTTAAGTGCACTCCACTCCGCTAATTTTATTTTTTTATTCACTGTTACACACACACACACACATACACACACACACACACACACACACACACACACACACACACACACGCACGCACGCACACGCACGCACGCACACACACACACACACACACACACACACACACACACACACGCACACACACACACACACACACACACACACACACACACACACACGCACACACACACACACACACATGCTACTCACTTTTTATTACTGCAAATGCACATATTCGTATCGTACATTTCATTCCCTACCCACACGTCACGGCTCTACACTACACTACTTTAGTTTTAGCTGAAATCAAAAGATTGGTCATTTCATTTTACCATAAAACGGAGAATCTTCATAATACTATTAATACAGGTCTAGGACCTAGAGTAGGTTATGATGGTTTAGTTTTTGTTTGTTCATACAACCAATAGTTTTTTTTAATTTGTAAATTAGTCTAGTAAGTGCTGTATGTTGCATTTGAATAAAATTAATATTATATTTATTATTATTATATTACCTCGATGCAGTATTTGCACAAAACGGATCAACGTTAAGGTACTCGTACATTACACGGCGAACTAGTACCAGATTGAATTGGGTCAGTTTTTGTTAATCAGATATGATTATTATAAAAACTGTTATGTGATTATTTGGTGACATTTCAAGGTTGCAAATGAAAAAAAAAATACATTTACATTGTTTTATATGTTAATGTCGAGTATTTGTAGCTTAGTTAGTTTTTTACTTTAAAGACTACGTTTGGTTTAGGTTTCAATGTCACATGTAGTACCGATAATAATTACTTGTGGTATAGTTAACAGCACGCTTTGCGAGCGGGTTTTGGAATGTCTATTTAACCGACTTCAAAAAAGGAGCACGTTCTCAATTCGGCTCAGAAAGGCTTTCTTTCTCATTAGAAATCTGCACGCAAAAGCGTTTTTGGCACGCTAGCGTGGAAAAGGTTTTTGAAATTCGAACTTGACGATGGACTGTGAACTTTTTTTTCGATGAATTGAAACATAATGCAACTTCAAATACGCGATTTGTAAATAAATCCGTTGGTATCTCTTATTCTTATTGTTGTTGATATTAAATTAATAACGATAACTAATTTTAGGAAATGAAACTATTTTTCGGCATTCAAATCGCGTATATTTGTTATTTCAAGTAAACCAATGTTTCAGGGCCTTGAAAAAACAAATATACGCGATTTAAATCTGGAAAAATAGTTTCATTTCCTATATGTAACTATAGCGAAAACCTAAGAA